AGAATTATTTAATTACAAAATGGGTTAGAATTTTTTATCAAACATGATTAAGTACAACCAGCAAACAAGACTAATGAAGAACGAATTATGGTTGTACACATTCTACAAATAATAAAGCTAATAACAAAAACAAATTTAAAAACAAAAACAGTCACAATAGTTGCTCAAAATGTAGTCCATTCTGTTGGATACAGAGTGCAATTCTCCTAGACATTTGGGATGTAGTTTTATCAACCATTTCTGGTGTAATTTTTTCAAATGCATCTACTATTCATTGACGAAGTTCTTGTAGATTATTTGGCATATTTTTGTCGTGGATTTGGTTCTTTACGAAGCCCCATACAAAATAATCCATGGGGTTAAGACATGGAGATCGAGGAGGCCATATTATTGGTCCATTGGTACCAATCCAATTACCTCTAAAATATTGATCGAGATACTCTGCAACCCTCCTCGCATTGTGTGCACCACAACCGTCTTGCATAAAGTATTGAAGATTGTGTCTTGTCTGTAAGGGCATCTCATCGAGTACTTCCTCCAATAAATGTAGGTATCGGAACTGATTTAAATTACCACCAAAAAAATCGGCCCAATAATCTGATTATTGATTAGTCCACACCACACATTTTGGGTAAAACGGAACTGTGGTCTAACTTCTCTGATTAAATGGGGATTAGAAGTAGCATACAAATGCTTGTTCCTGGGATTAAATATTCCACTATTAGTAAAGGAGCATTCATCCGTCCATAATATCTTTTTGTTGAAAGAACGGTCATTGCGCAGTTTTCTACTATACCAACGACTAAACATCAGTCTTCTATCAGAGTCTCCAGCGTGTAATTTGTGGAATTTTTGAAATTTATACCCGTGGTATTTATGTTTCTTTAAAATTCTTTTAACCGTGGAGGTTCCTACTACACATTCTTTAGCTATTCGCCTAGTAGAATTTTCAGGGTTAATATGTATTTGGGCAAGAACATTAATTTCATTATCAGTATGTCGAACCTGATATCTAGTTCTCCTTTTTTTCACACTGCTATGCTCTGCCATATTTTTTGAAATATAAGAAAACATCCTCTTAGATGGCTGTTGTCTATCAGGATATAAATCTAAATAATTCTGAGCTGACCGGGTTTCATTCCTATAGCATCTTATGTACACATCATACATATCTTTCTTCTCTTTTTCAGTATAACGAACCATAATATTTATTTAATTTTAAATTATTTAAAGCTACAAAAGTACTGTAATATTAGATGTTACAGATTAAAACAGAAATATTGGTGACAAGTTACAACTGACATGCATTGCAAACATGATTTTGTTAAAATGAAAAAAAAAAATGAAAACATTAAAAATAGAAAAAATACGGTGTGAGAAACCTGAGCGAAAGATTTTACAGAAAATCAGGTGATAGGAATTTATAGATTGCTTGACCGTTTTGTTTTTCATTTTATGTTTTTGTTATTAGCTTTATTATTTGTAGAATGTGTACAACCATAATTCGTTCTTCATTAGTCTTGTTTGCTGGTTGTACTTAATCATGTTTGATAAAAAATTGTAACCCATTTTGTAATTAAATAATTATTCTTGTATTATGTTTCAAATAATATTTAAAATTTCACATTTTAAGCATTTTTTGTTTTGTAATTATTATTTAATTAGCTACTTTGTTTTAATCAAGTAAGAAACGGTATCATCAGAAGCTACAGAGCTGATGATATTTTCATAGAAGAAACGTAGTAAAATGGTAAGGTGTAACATATTGTTGTATTTAGCTATACAAAAGCTATAAAAAATTACAGTTAAAAATCCAGGTCCGTATTTAAAAAAAATAAGTTGAAGGTGGCCCTGGAAATACGAAACGTCGTAATAAAAATTTTGAGATGGCAGCTTATAGGGAACTTGATTTATAATAAAAACTTCGTATAATTTTTTTTTGTATCTTTTATAATAACATCGCACGACTTAAAAAACGAAAATGAGGTTTTTCGGATTTTATCGAATATCTCCGGAACCAGTCGGAAAATCCGGAACTTCTATGGACCATTGTATTATCTGTCAAAATACGAAACTTTTTCCCCATTTAACCGACAATATTGGGGTCTATTCTGTAACAATTCCTTTATATTTAACGGCCTTCAAAAATATTGGCGGCCTTTAAAAACATGTTCGTATTCGTTAATTTACTTCTGTCATTATATAAACAGATTTCTTTAAGATAGTCCTCTAATGTATTTTATAGATCCGTTTAAATAATGACAGAAGTAAAGAAGAAAATATTTTTAAAGGCCGTTAAATATAAAGGAATTGTTACAGAATAGACCCCAATGGGGCCTATGGGACCTATGATAAATACACTTAATTCCTGAGGAACATAAGCTGTTAAGTCCAAGCAGTTAAGGCGCTAGAGTCGATTGAAATTAACGAAAAATGATTAAAAAACACTCATTTTCAGCACGCTGCCGTTAATCAGAGGTATTGACTGAGCAAATTATCGATGCTTACACTTAAACTACTATCTTTCCCCCTCAGAATTCCGCTTTAATAATGTAGTTATCTTTAAAAAGAAAAATTTTAGAGGAAAAGTCGATAAGGCTTAAAAATATCGATTTTTTAAAGTCTTTATTTAAATAGGTGGAAAGGAGTGCTTATAAAAATCAAACTCGTGTAAAATATATCGTTAAAAGGAAACATTAGTAGGTAAAAATCATTAAAAATATATGAATCAATTTTCGCTGATTTAAAAAATTATTTGTATGCTCATTGTTGTGATTAATTTTTACAGATTCGCATAGAAACGACTATCCTTTCACACATAAACATGGTTTAAAAGGTAGGTTATAATTATTTACGATATAAGTGCGATAAGAGCTTTATTAACGTACGCAATCGCAGAAGTACGTTAATAAAAGCGTTATCACACGTATATTGTACAAATTTTTATCTACGCCTCTAAATGTAAAAATAAACGGTAATTATAATTTTTGTTTAAGACTTAATTTAGAGTTATTGGTCTCCACCACTGCCTACATGTCGATACATCGAAATGTTGCGAGTCTGTTCTAACAATTGAATAAAAACGTTTTGTTTTCTTAGCAACGATAATATTGTCATAAACAATAAGTAAAAAATAATTAATTTTTTAACGTATTTTTGCATTTTCTAGTAATAAAATGAGTGATTCGGAAAGTTTGCCATGTGCTATTGAAGAACAAGCTTTAAATATAGTTACTTGTTACTTAAGATTGTGACAGTAATTAGTTATTAAATTTAAATAGATTTTGACATTGGCTTTTTTATTTGATTGAAAAACAATAGTAGCGTAGTTAAAAATATTAATAATTCAGATTTAAAAGATTGTTTCACAATGAATTAGGATTGCAATTTTCAGGAAAACAATTGTCGCTGTCATGTCTTATGTGATTTTTTTTAATATAAAATATTTTTTTTAACCACTTTGCTCAGGATAGGGATTGGCACAGGTTCAATTTAGTAAAGTACAATGTTACATGCCTTTGGAGCATATTTCATTTCGTTATCAGATGACGGTCGAAATTTGCAGTGGGCTCTCTTACTATAACCAGAGTACAATATGAGCTGATTCTTTAGCCTATAAACTGTGCTCAGATTGTTTTTTCTGTAAGCTTGTATTACTGCGAGAAGGAAAAACTCGATTTATTGCACTTGAGTTTATATTTCTGCTTCAGTTTTTGATTCGGTATATCAGATCATAAGTTGTGATAATCTTTGTTGGAGTTCTAATGTGTTTTCATGTGCCTAATTTTTTGTGTACTTGTAGAAGATTGATTTATACGTAACAAAAAAAAAGTTCTGTCTCTTGATCATATTGTATAGGTGGTAGATTGACTGAACCATCATCAGTTAATGTATGAGAGCTAAAAATATTTATATTTTTGCACACTGATGCTTTTTTCCGAGGTTGCCACGCATTACGGGTTTTCTTCGTATTTATTCATTCATTCTTCTCAAAGGCCCACTGCCTTGACGACGGCCTACCAGTCTTTGGACCTGTAGACCGATGGCCCAATCCGACACTGTCTACACATCTAATGGTAATTTTTGAGTAAATAAGTATTTCTTGATACTGCTAGGATATTACCATTAAACCAATCAGGCTTTAGAAGCGGTTAGTTTGTAGTATCCTAAGATAACGAAGTCATAGCTGAACACAACCATTTTGAGTAATTGTTCAAATTTGCGTAACTCCTAATTCACATTTTAATTAGCGATTGCTCATTTAATTTTATTTGACTACTCTCGTACCTTTGACAATTTGAATCATCAAATATTAGTTACAAGTTTACTACCGCCATTAATTGAATGATCTCATTCCTTTCAGACAGGGAACAAACGCTATAAATTTCGAAGTTTGTAAGTGTTGCAGGGTGTACCACAGGGAAGTATTTTAGGCTCCCTTGTGTACACCATGTTCACTTCTAATTTTTATACCTATCTAACGCACTGTAATTACTATTTCTACGCAGATGATGTAAAATTGTATTAATATTCGTTTTCTTTATATGACATCAACTTGGCATGAATACAAATCAATTATGATTTATCAACAATAGGGTTATTATTAGATTGATTGCCTATTAATAATGAATGAATGAAAAAAAAAAAACTTGCGCCGTTTTTTGAATACAATAACAAGTTGCTGCTGGCTATAAAACAGCTACAGATTTATATAGGCAGATATTCTAATTTTAGTAATAATTAATTGTAAATATTTTGGACTATTGATATGTATATGAATATAATTATTTTGTCAAAGGATGCTGAGGAACAATTGCTCAGAAGATCATCACCACTACTTTTGTTTACTGTCATTTATGACTGAATTTTAATATTTATGTGGTAAACAATAAACGATTTATTATTATTAAAAAGCATATTATAGTATTTAGATTGCATTATAGTTGTGCTGTAAAAACTTTGAAATATCCATACATTGGAAATTATGAATAAAAATCCATAATAAAAATAACTTAATATTTATTAAACCAAACAGAAACAAAATAGTTGAAAAATAATATTCTACACAGTCACTACATTCTCAAGTGCATCTTCACTCGCAATAATGTCCATTTCCACTTCGACATTTTCTTCTTTAGTTTTTAAAACATCTGCTTGCGTGATATCCACCACTTCCTTCATTTTATTTTGAACGGTTTCTTCCTGGTTATCCACCATTTCCTTCTTTTTATTATCAACAGTTTCAGTTTGTTCTGATTCTATTTTAGGTTCATCCTTGAATGCTTTACCAACAGGTGGTACTGCTAAATTCATATTAGAATCATCTTCATCCTTTAATTGCTCACTAATAGATGGTACCGCCAAATGATCATTAAAATCATCTTCATCATTTAATTGCTCATTAATAGACAGTACCGTCGAATTCACATTAAAATCATTTTCATTATTTAATTGCTGATTAATAGATGGTACCACTGAATACACATTAGATGGTACTGCTAAATTCATATTAGAATCATCTGCATCCTTTAATTGCTCACTAATAGATGGTACCGCCAAATGCTCATTAAAATCATCTTCATCATTTAATTGCTCATTAATAGACAGTACCGTCGAATTCACATTAAAATCATTTTCATTATTTAATTGCTCATTAATAGATGGTACTGCTGAATACACATTAGAATCTTCTTCCTTTAATTGCTCACTAATAGATGGTACCACCAAACTAGCATTAGAACCTTCTTCATCCTTTAATTGCTCATTAATAGATGATACTGCCAAATTTACATTAGAATCATCTTCTTGCTCTAATTGCTCACTAATAGATGGTACCACCGAATCCACATTAGAATCTTCTTCATCCTTTAATTGCTCACTAATAGATGGTACCGCCGAATTCACATTAGAATCATCTTTATCTTTGAATTGCTCACTAATAGACAGTACCGCTGAATTGACATTAGAATCACATTCATCCTTTAGGTGGTCACTAATAGATGGTACCATTGAATTTATATTAGAATTGTCTTCAATGTTAACATCCATTTGAGTTGGAGATGCAGAGGGTAAAGGTTTTGTTTCTGCAGCTTCAGGTAAAGGAGAATCTAAAAATGACAGAAATAATTTTTGTTAATTGCAGTAAGGAAACATTAAAATAAACTTCAAAATTGTCAATTTATATATAAATCTGCCTTCAGATACCTGTATCTATCAGGCAAAAACATCTTATACTTATCATAATTTATGCTTATTTATTTATTTAATAATTTATTTAAATATATAGCCAGTAGTGATTTTATCTAAAAATTGACAATCAAGCGCATTCACTTCATAACCTAATTTGTATTGTGATAACAGTGTACTTGTTTGTTTATTTATTTACGTAAATAGTGGATATTATTAAAGAATTCAAAGAAACTAATATATTTCTTTACTGTCGTTCATGACATTTTTAATGAAACCAGCAATATTAAAAAACAACACGAATTATGACGCTAATAAAAATTCAATAATACAACACAATTTACAATATATCCAAAACTTAGAAAACAGAATAGAATAGAATAAATTTTCTTTCCAAAAAACAAATGAAGTAAAGGGTAGAAATTATTTAATTTTGATATAATATGAAAAAGTAGATCTGTGATTGATAACAAAATAGTCATACACTCGAAGTTTCTTTATCTTACTTTGATTTCATTTCAGTTTGCAATATTTGTATTAGTACATCTCTCAGTTATCTATCAGATAATTTGAAATAAAAGTACCCGTACAGGTAATCTTTTAGATAACTGAAAATTAAAGCTAACACGAGACAAAAAAAGTAAAAATTATGGACAAGTTACTACGTACACAACTTAAATACAGCTAGGCTAAGGTCACCGATTCTAGTCGGCAGGCAGGCTGAACGAGTCGGTGGGGCGTCAGATCAGCGAAATGCTATGGGTAGATCTCCCTGGTCAATCAGTGCAATTTACCTAGAACTCTTCTAGGCCATAGTTGAGCACTCCCACGCCAAATTTATCAAGCTCAAGAGTGACAGCTAACCCCATATTCCGTGTGAATAAAACTATAATTTCCCCAAAATAATTTCAAAGCCAGAGTAAGTAAAACTACCTTGCCGGTAGTGATACCGGCCAATGCCAAAGCCCGAAAGGGCAGACACCCCAACTAATTAGAAACAGGTACCTGAAAAATATTGAACTAATAGTCAGAGTTGCCACTGTACATTCACCAGAGAATTTAAAGCTAAGCTGAAGCTGAACCAAAACACAAACGTGAGTAAGGAAACCATTCTACTAACAAAAGCTAACCCAGGGGTCATCTGCCTGAATAAGAGGAACTCCTCATCAGTTGAGTGCCAACTGAGCGCGTCTTCGGGTGGTGGATAGGAGAACGGCCAGGTTCTCCCTGGTTAGTGGTAGCGTGAGAGAGCTTAAAAACTCAAAATCTTTTGCGAAGGCTACCGCCGCGAACCAACTCCCTATATCTAAGGTGTAAGGTAACGTGCCGACGGATGAATTGTCGTAGCGGTAGATGCGGCAGCACACGCTCCCCTGAGGGAACCTGGCGACATTTACTTTGAAAAATGACAAAGAGCTCAAAATAGGTGTCTTTGGCTAATCCTAAGGAGCAACCGTTACACGAGAATTACAGACATGCACACACAAGCATCCATGGAGCCTATTAAATACTTTGTTATGAGACTTTCAACCAAATTTTACGTAAATTGTCTTCCTCCTTCGCTGAAGGAATACATATTAAAAATATATATACAAGTTATAGACACAGACGACGAGCATAGCTCTCCATAACAGCGAAGGGGACACTAAATTGCAAATTTACTGAGACTAATAGTTATCAACTTTAGTCGGACGGAAGTATGAGCGGTGACGTCACTCGCTAGCGCTAGTCAGAGGGTCTTGGCTTGCCACAATCTTCTGACTGGCGGTGGGCTTAATTGCTCAGTCTCGTAAATCTGCAATTAACAGACATAAACTAAGAAAATACCGTGACGCACACACAAACAAGGACAGCCCAGGTTTTTCGCTAGTTCTCCAGGGTACCACAACCACAATTAAAATCAGACAAAACTACAATCAGATCAATTATCGCTTTGGCAAAGTAACCATAAAGGCAATATAATATCCATACGGATAAGGAGACTGCTAAGTACTCATCAGAGAAGGAGAAGTTCATGTTGGTTAATAGCAGGCTAGGACATCGGCAATGACTCCGGATATATGCGGGACCAGTAGAACAAATTCTTATATATGTATATATTAATCAATAAATGAACATGTAGATATTGTAAATAGATAATAAAGTAAAAGGTCAATCAGTGCAGTCTACGATTAGAATACACTCTAAGCCACAGACAACAATGAACTACCGCAAACCCTATTTTTTGCTTGGTTATTCAGGGAAAACGGGCAAAATTAAAATCAGACCAAGCCTTTGACAAAATCAATTACCGCACTTGTGTATAAGAACCTAAATAATCAAATAATGCTAAGAAAAGCAAGGAGTTGATTTCTCAAAAGGTTCTCAAGATTTATTATAAAAGTCTGGATGTACATTGTAATATGTAAATAGTGTAAAATGAAGTTTTATTTAGTATTATCTAGTGAAAGTATTGGACCTAAGGCCTTAATGTAACAAATTGTAAAGACATTTACCTGACACATTTTGATCTTCAAGTGAAAAAACAACTTACCTTCGCTTTTGAGCTCTATCACTGCCGTTTCACTCTCAGTATTAGCCACTACAGAACTATCCATCTCCACCACTTCCATATTCTCATTAGCAACTTCGTTAACCACCTCAATGTCCTGCTTACTTTCGATTTCAATCTCTTGTGTTGTTTCCACCTCCATTTCCTCACACTTTATCTCGACAGGCTGCTCTTCCATCTGGTTTGTAATGTACGTGGACAACTGCATCATATTTCTGGCGCACTCTTCGGCCTTTCTAGCCTCCAATTTCAATTTTTCGTTCTCCTCGGACAGGTTCGTGCCGCCCAAGCCGAAAATGAACGGATTGTTGGACTTTTTGCAGGTCGATTCGGACATGGATTTGGGGTTCTCTTCGAACAGCATGGTCGGCACGGATTCCATTTTGGGAATGTCCGGCGGAATTTCGTAGTTCATGAATTCTGTTTTGATTGGTTCGGCGATTTGGGACTGGGGCGGGGTTTGGTGGTAGTTGATGGGCGGTTCGACCGTCTCTTCTGCATCCGATTCTGAGTCTTTCTGTGGAAGGAAGAAAATGCTGCAAAATCGTCATTAAAGGTAGCACAGGTAGTTTACTAACCCTAACTTGATTGTATGATCTTAAAGGTGGTATTTCAAGGTGCAAAGGACATGTTGATTCATCGAATATGGCTGCTATGGGAGTTGTACACTCAACGTCTCCAGTCATCTTACCACAGGCTCTAAATAAAACTTGATTGATGTCCTAAAAGTACACTTTGTTTCATTTATTTATTTATTTGCGGATCAAAACCCATTTTACAGAATTAAAAAAAAAATATATAGTTTTGTCACAGCCATTTTGGCTTGGATCTTCAACAATTACTAACGTATTATGTTACCAGAATGAAATATTGAATGCCTTTGAAAATCGGTTAGTTAGTTACTGCATACACTGATTTTTCCAAGGAGTTTGATTCTGTTAACTATAATTTACTTTAAAAACATTTCTCTAGGCTCTCCCTAACCAACGTTTTAGAGTTAGGAAGAAAAATCAAAAATAAATACACTTCTAGTGAAGATGAAATTCCAGCATGTGTAATTAAAAAACTATAAATGTTACTAGTGAGGTTTTAGCATATCTTATCAATAACTCAATTAAAATTAGCTCTAGTTAAACCACTATATAAAAAAGGTGATTCTCAGTTGTTAGAAAATTATCGACCGATAAGTATTTTACCTAGTTTCTCTAAGTTATTTGAAATAGCTATGTGTAATAGTATTTTAACTTTTTTTTGAAAAATGTAATGTTTTTAGTGATAACCAACACGTTTATTTAAGCAGAAAATCTACACAAACGTTTCAATTTACACAAAATATCATAAATTTAATGGAAGAAAAATATCTGGCGCTTGGTATGTTTCTTGATCTGTCGAAGGCATATGACTCTCTCGACCACAAACTCCTTTTAATTAAATTGGATAAATATGGCTTAAGGGGAAACTATTTGAAATGGATAGAATCTTATCTAGAAAATAGACAGCAAAGAATTTGCATTATCCATGATTCTCAAAAAACCAAATCAAATATAATCACAACAAATGTAGGAATACCACAGGGAAGTATTGTTGAGTCATTGTTATTTATTATATACATGAATAACTTGTGTCAAAACAACTTCGACCCTTATCAATTTATAAAACTGTGTATGCAGATGACACTAACCTTTTGGCAGGAGGAGGAACATATCTATTTATTTATTTATTTACGGGTCAGAGCCCATTAAAACAATACAATTACAGATAATACATATTACATACATTAAATAGTAATAAAATCCTAAATAATAATAATAATAATAATAATAAATTAATTTAAATACATAAATATTAAAAACAATTAAAAATTACTCCTCACATATACATAAATGGTTAGAAAAATCTGATGGAGAAGTAATCCATTCTACATTTAGTCTGTTAGCAGATCTTGTTACTCTAGGAATAAAAGAGTGAGAACCATAATTTGTTCTATGAAAAGGTTGAGAGAATGTATTAATATTCCTAGTTACTCTAGAGGGTACAGAAAATCCAATTTGGGATAACAAGTATGGACAATCGGCAGATGAGTTAATAATGTTAAACAATATTTTAAGATCCCTTTGGTTTCTTCTGCTCAGAAGGGTCTCAAGATGACACTGGGTAATAACAAATACAGATATGTTGATTGCTGATGTGATAAAAACACCTAAAATAAGTACACATTTTAATATATCTGTTAAAGTAAAACAAGTTAAATCTAAAATGATAACACAAACAATTGAAAGTAGGGGCCGAAATATAGACTATTCTGCAATTAATCAGAAATTAGAAGCTGTTACTTGGAATTTTAGGGAAACAGATATAAATAGAAAATATCAATGCTTCTATAAGGAAATTTTTAATATATATATAATGAAGTAGCTCCTAAAAAATTAATTACAATTTACCCAAGATATAAAGAGTGGTGGAACAGTAGTGTTAAGCAGGCAGTGGAGGACCGAGATAAAAGCTATAAGAACTTTGTGAGCAATAGAACAGAGGAGAATAAAAACATGTATAAAGAGAGAAGAAATCTTGCTGTTAGAGTAATACGAAATGAAAAACGGAAATATTATGAGCATAAGATAGATGACTATAAAAATAATACAACGGAATTGTGGAAAACACTAAAAACGTTGGTTCCAAATAATGTGGCCAATACGGATTTTTTAGAAATTGAAATTGAACAGAAAACCATAGATAGAGTTGAAGATATACCAGATAATTTGAATTCCTTCTACATTGAGAGTATTGATAAAATTATGGATAAAATTGATAAAAATGGTCCAGACTTCCCCATTAATATTAATCGGGAAAATATCAGTAACTTTTCCAAATTTACTTTAATTGATTTTAGTACGCTTAAAAAAATTATTTTCTCAATGCCCAATAAGAACAGTCCAGATGGTATAGGCATGGCATTTATAAAAAATACCTATGACAATATTGCTAAACCCTTGATAAATGTTATCAATACTTCTTTAGAATCTGGTAAAGTCCCAGATGATATCAAGGTCTCCACCATTGTACCAGTTCCTAAAGTTGCAAAATCTAATAAAGCTTCTGATTTCAGACCAATAAATATGCTTAGCTGCTTTGAAAAAATTTTAGAAAAAGTAGTCTATGAACAAATTGTTGATTTCATAGAAAGAAACAAATTTTTAACCAAATTTCAATCGGGTTTTCGCAGTAAGCATTCATGCGAAACTGCGGTACAATGTGTGCTAGATGATTTGAAAGGAAATCTTAATCAAAAACATGTTACTGTTGGTGTTTTTTTGGATCTTCAAAGGGCGTTTGAAACGGTAGATAGGAATAGACTCTTAAAGAAATTAGAAAGAGCAGGGTTTAGTGGTACAGTATTGGAGTGGATTTCAAACTATTTAACAAATAGAAGGCAAAAGGTCAAAATTAAAAACTTTGTATCTGAGGAGTTAGAAATAAAACGAGGTGTACCACAAGGAAGTGTCCTAGGTCCCTTGTTTTTTTTTGATTTATATCAATGACATTGCAGACATTCAGACTAAATGTTTATTTCACTTATTTGCAGATGACGCGTTCATTTATTATTCTTCTCTAAATATAATAGATATTGTTACAATGATTAATAAGTGCTTAGAAGTTGTTTATAGATGGTGTTGTGCTAATCTATTAAATATTAATTGTAAAAAAACCAAATTCATCATAATTGGCAATGAGCAGCAATATAAACTCTTTGTAGAACAAGATCATAAAATAATGATTGGGCCTTCCGAAATTGATATGGTAAATGAATACAAATATCTCGGAGTTATTATAGTTCGACAACTTAAATTTAAACAGCACGCAAACCATTTAATAAAAACAATTTCATTTAAAATAAATTATCTTTACAGATGTTCACATCATTTATCTAAGTGGTCAAGGCTTGTTCTATTTAATTCTCTTATACTACCTCACTTCACTTACTATTCAACAGTATTATATCTCTTAAATCAAAATGAGAGAAATCGGTTCCAAAAATTGCAGAATAGAGCTATGCGAATATTATTGTCATGTCCTAGATTGACCCCTATTGTAGAAATGCGGATATCTTTAAACTGGCTCTCAATTAAAGACATGTTCCTTTACCAGACATTAATTTTTATATATAAAATAAAAATAGGTTACGGGCCTGACTATCTCCAGCATAAAATTACGTATAACCATCATATTCACACCCATAATACAAGACTTAGAAATTATTTTTATATTAGGACCGTCAACACCAGTCATGCTCAAAATTCAATCTTTTTTAAAGGCTTACAGCAATTTAATGACTTGCCAGAAGATTTAAAGAAAATAGAATCAGTTAATGAATTCAAATGTAAAATAAAACAATATTTGTTAGATGTAAGTAGCTAATTTAGTTATTGAAGTATTCATTATTAATATTAATATTTTATGTGTTGTTTAATTGTATTTTATTTTATACGACTACAGTTATATTAATAACCTATTATACGTATACATTTATTTTTAGTGAGAAAGTGTATTATTGACTATGTATTAGTTGTTTTTTGACTAAATAAAGCATATATATACAAAGTGTGTGTAATTCGTCATAATTGTATCTGAAGTTGACCGGGACAATACCCGATTTAAATGCAACAATGCGTAAAAATTTTCTTTGAACCTGTTCTATATTATGGATTAGATATACATAAAAAGGATTCCATACAGAAGAAGCATATTCAATATAAGGTCTAACTAAGGCACAATAAAGAATCTTTAAACACATCACATTATGAAAATCAGAAGTAGTTCTTCTAAGGAAGCCCAACATTCTTAATGCTTTATTAACTGAGGCCGTTATATGAGTTTGAAAAGAAAGGGTGGAGTCTAATATCACACCCAAATCTTTTACCTCTGTAATAGTATCCAGTGTTATGTCATTGATTTTATAGATATATTCAATAGGACTATGTTTTCTGTTGAAATTGATTGCATGACATTTACTTGTATTTAATTCCATTCCATTAGTATACACCATTGGACCAAGTTATCCAAGTCTTTTTGAAGGCAAATACAATCATGTAAGGAATTATTTACACGCATGAATAATTTTAAATCATCAGCAAAGCAAAGGAACTGAGAATTCTTAAAACAATTTTGGATGTCATTGTTATATATATTAAAAAGTAGAGGTCCCAAATGTGAACCTTGAGGGACACCAGATGTAGTGGTAAAGCCAGAGGATAAGAAACCAGAAACACGAACAATTTGAATGCGGTTTGTTATAAAGCATTCGATCCATTTCAGAAGATTACCACCAATGCCAATGTTACTAAGCTTTCCAATCAAGCAATTGTGGTTAACTCTGTCGAATGCCTTTGAAAAATCAGTGTATATAGCATGAACTTGATCATTAGAATCCAAGGCATTCGATAAGTAATCAACATAAGACAACAATTTAAGTTCAGTGGACTTTTTGGAGCGGAAACCAAACTGCTGATCTATGATGAAAGGATCAAGCAGTTTCGATAAATACTTTGTAATAATACTATCAAAGAGTTTAGGAATCACACTTTGAATGCATATTGGCCTGTAATTAGTTACATTTGATTTGTCGCTTGATTTGTAAATCGGTACAGTAAAACTTGATTTCCAGTAATTAGGAAACATTCCATTATGAAGTGAAACATTAAAGATAATATGCAGTGGACGGGATATAACATAACAACAAGTTTTCAATAAGGAAGGTGGCAAGCCATCAGGACCTGATCCCTTACTCATATCTAAACAGCTCAGATGTTCAAATATTTCTGAAATAGATATTTGATAATTTGCAACATTTAAATGGGTTGAATATGGTTTATCATAATTATGGCATGGTTGATTGCTATAGACTGAGCTAAAGTAATCCTGAAACATATTAGCTAAATCTGTACCCATAGAGCATCTAGTGTTGTTATAGTACATTTCGTTGGGTAACTCATTACTTTTTCTTTTTGAATTAACAAAATTCCAAAATGTTTTAATATCATTACCAACAGATGATTCAGTAAGTTTAATGTAATCATTGTAATTCTGTTTAGACTTAAGTTTACATTGAGAGCGCAAGTTAGAGAATACCATGTAGTCGTTAGAAGATCCACTAAATTTAAATCTAAGGTGTGCCTCCTTCTTTAGAATTATGAGATTTTTCAATTCAGGTGAAAACCATCTGGGAAATCGTCGAGTGGATAATTTTTTCAATGGTACAAAGGAATGAATGACAGAATACACAAAATCGTAAAATATATTTACCATTTCATCAAGTGATTTATTTAAGAATAGTGAATCCCACTGAATTAATCCCAGATGATGTTCAATGGATCGAAAATCTGCGAATTTGTAATCATAGTAATACTCATTAGGTACATGTGACGAGTTACAATAATTTACAGCAAGGTTCAAGTGTATAAGTAACGGGGGATGATATTTATCGACAATAATTAGAGCGAGAGAGGTGGTTGTTGAAGATTGATAAGAAAAAACTAAATCTAAAGTAGTATTGTAATTGTAATCATTCTGAACTGCATTGTTCTGAAAGAAGTTGTGAAAAGCACACATATTGGAGATAGTATTAATCGCAGCAGTTTCATCAGCTCTAGTTCCAGGTCCCAAGGAAGCGGTAGCAGTTGAGCATAGATTATTTGACATCCATATGGCCTTAGGTAAATTGAAGTCGCCCAAAATGCAAAATTGTGCATGAGGATACATCTCTGACAAACTATCCAAGTTTTCAGTGAACGAAACATATTTATCATTTGGTGACATTGGAGGAAAGTAAGCAGCTCCTAAAATAAGAGTACTTTTACCATTGCCTATGAGGACAAATAACTGTTCAATTTCTTGTGAAGAGTTGAGCAAACTACTTCGTATAGATTTGGAAACTGCTATAAGAACTCCACCTCCTCTGGAGGATGAGCTGGTTTGTGCAGATCTGTCCTTGCGGTAAATGTTGAAATTTTCAAATCCAAGTTCGGCATCACTAAAGTTTTCTGTCAGCCAAGTTTCGGCGAAAACAATGATTTCGTGGGATACAGTTGCTACATCAGAAATAAGTTTACTTAGCTTTGTTCTTAATCCTCTAACGTTTTGATATCCTGAAGCGATAAACACTGTAGTGATGTTTTCAGTAAAATAAAATGATCTTAAATGAAACTAAAACTAACACAATACTATTCAACAATACAGTTTTAAATGGAAAACTCTAAACAGTTAAATTTGACGTTTCTTTCAAACATTTTTAGGACTAATTATCAACGAACTCTTAAAATGGTCACAACATATAGGTGAAACTTCAAAGAAACCAAGTAAAATAACTTATGAACTAAGAATTGTCACTAAGTATCTGAATAAGGAAACCTCTAAGATACTTTATTTTGCCAATTTTGAATCTGTCCTCAGTAATTGAATAATTTTTTGGGGCAGTAACAGCAGTGCCGAAAAACTAGTCCTAATACAAAAAATAGAAGTAATAATACTTAATGATGAAATGAAATTTAATTAATCTTGTAGGACTGTGTTAAAATCAAATAACATCTTGACTGTTTATGGTTTATATATTTTCGAATGCTTAATGTATCTTAATAAAAACAAAGACGTTTTTGATAATAGTACAATTTCTCATAACTATAACACTAGGAAAAATCACCTAAATTATCCATATCATAAATTAAAAAAGACTGAAAAATCTCCATACTACATGGCAATAAAATTTTACAACAAACTACCTTTAAGAATAAAAAATTGTTTCTTAAATAATAAATTAAAAAAAAAAAAAAATTAAACAACTAATTATAGAATTAGAACCTTACTCTATTAGCCAATATTTAGATTCTAATTTAAATTAAAAAAGTTTTTTTTGACACCATTTCATTCTGTGCTGTCAGTTATAAATATTTGTTTGTATCTGCCAACTTTTTTTTAAATAAAGATTATTATTATTAAATATCTTAGAGGTTATTGGACTAATGTTAGTGTTTTAAGAAAGCTTCCCAAATCGCAACCATTGTCGTTAGTTCATTAATAGATTTAAAAGTAACGGGCCTAAATAAAATCCCTGCGGTACACCTGATGAAATCTTTTAGTTTAGAAATTAGTATGTAATGGTTCACTCTTTTATTTTAAAAGTAAATAGAAAAACTGAATATAAGTACCTACCTCTAAAATGTGTTTCTGGCAATGTTTGGCCAATGGAAGTGACCTTTCTCCACATTTTACACCTCCTTCTGAAAAGACGCATTTTGAGTAATTCAAACTCTTGTTGCCTGATCCGTCGGTAATCTGTAATCGGATTATTTTAAAATGTTATTAGGGACATTATGATAATAGTTCTATACCTTTACTCTTAGATCTTTCAATCTTTTGCTAAGGATCGCGTCAACACCATGACATTTTTGGTAGTTATTCAAAGCCTTTAATTTTTTATACAATCTGTGCTCCTTGGGGTTATCCCTGACTTGGTTATATATGTTACCTTAAACAATTAAAAATTTAATAAACAGTTTCTATAAAGTTATAGATTTAATCACTTACAACAAGTTTCTTTTTCCCGTTTTAGGGAATGCAGATATTTTCTTCTCTTTTTTGTCAATAAATACTGCAAATGTCGATATTGTTCAATATATAAAGACTGTAATCTTATTAATTTATCTCTAGTCAATGAGGTAATCTCCTCTGCTGTGAATACATTGGCGTGTCTATAAAAATAATAAAATATTTTATAAAATCATCAAAACACAGTTTAAATATTCTCAGGATGCTAATAACCAATAATTGTTCCAATTTAGAAAAGGGTATAGTTCACATTCTCAAAATTTCATACAAAAATAGTGAGCAGATTCTCCTCAATTTTGTTTTTAATTTAGAAATTGATATTTACATAAATACAAGTTGCAATAATCATATTTTAAAATCCATTTCAGATTCAGAGAATTCTTTTTTGAGAAGCAGGTTTTGAATTTTAAAGCTTTAAGTGTGTTTCTAGATGTTCGAAGATAATTTATACACTAACTAATAAAAAGTACAATTTGATAAGTTCACTATAATCGAGACTAACTGAAAAAAAAAAAAAAAACCCAGAATCTATGCTGCACAACATTTCACAAATAAAATTAACCTTTCAAAATAATAGTTTGTGTGAACACTTCTTCTTAAAAATTAGTACATTTTTAATTAATTCATATTTATAAACTTTCTCAGTCTAAAATTAAAAAATAATTCTTACCAAAATGTATATTATTTTAATAAAAATATAATACAACATATTAACAATTTTAGCACATTTAATTTCATAATGATCAGTATACTTGTACGTATAAACTTCATTTTTAGTAAGTTCCTATTTATATACTTTCGTAGTCTGAAATTAAAAAATAAAACTTCCCAAAAGGTAAAATATAATATAAATATTAAAATGTACTTAGTGATGAGTGATATTTCACGAACTTTGATTTAATCACTGATACCAACAAATAGGATGGAAAAGCATCAGATGCATTGCCCACACCATCAATTTGATCGTTAAAGATGGACTAAAAAATGAGGAATTATAGAAAAAATCCGACAAATAGTAAGTTATTTCAGAAGAAGTAATATCTCAAATGACAAGCTTATGAAATATCAAGAGAAAATGGGAAATACTCCTTTAAAATTAATTTTAGAGGTGGCTACTCGGTGGAACTCCACATTCTACATGTTGGAAAGGTTAGTAAAACTGGAAGAAGCTATAAAGAGCACCTTAGCGATCATAGAGAAAGCTAAACCACTTCCTATTCTCACAGAGGTTGAATGGAAGACATTTAAGGGACTGTGTCAAGTCTTGCAACCTTTCAAAGTGGGGAAAAATATTGTACTTCTTCTGCTCTCATTATACTTACATTTAGTGGTTGAAGAGTATATTCGAGAAACTATCAGAGAAGAAACAGTTTTCACAACAAGTAAGTGATGTTATAGACCGTCAGATAGTGACCGATTTAGTGGCCCCATTTTCGCATGCAAGCCTCAAAGAGGGTTGAAAAGTACATCGATGTTGAGTAGAATAAAAGAAAATTTACCGAGTGGCTCTTGGGGATAATACATGGAAAATTCGATTTTCCTTATCAGAAAAATTTCGTACTAGTGAAGACGTACGTTTTCATACATTCGATGGGTTTGTGTGGAAAAATCGGGTAAAATCTCGATTTTTCGTTAGAAGATTACGCCCTTATTTCAACCCTTTAGCCATATGCAACATTAAAGCCTTTGGTTTTCCAAAGCCTAGTTCTATTAATCATATAGTGAAAACGGTTTGTGGCAACAAATAACCTTCCGTTTTTGCTAGGGAAAATCGAATTTTCTATGTGTTATGCCCAGCAGCCTCTCGTAAATTTCCTTTAATTCTACTTAAAATCGATGTACTTTTCAACTTCAACTCTCTTCGAGGCTTGTATGCGAACGTAGGGCATCAGGATTAAAAGACCGTCTGGCAATGTTGAAAGGAACAAAAGAAAGAAAATAAGACTGAAAATCTTGACCAAGGACTATTAATTTGGGCAGCTTTTGATAAAACCGTTACTTCCTCTCAACCAAAGGGAACATCCATGTCTCGAGCAATCATAGAATGCAAAGATTTCTTGAAGAAGAAATAATTCCTCGCGATAGTAAAAACTCTCTTTTATGGTGGCAAGAGCATAAACAAATCGTCGTCAATATCACGAAGTGACGTATCTCGATTTTCACAACTTTACAAGAGAGCGTTTTAAACTTTTTTTTTATAAAGTTACGTCTCTTTGTAAATATTTCAGATAGACACGGTTAGATATGTGCTATTTTAATAAATGTAATGACTTGAGATACGCAATTTCGTTAAATTGTAGCGCATACTTTTTTCCATAATACGTCTTATCTCAATTTTCAATTTTTTGAGTTACGTCACTTCATGATATTGACAATGAAATGTTACCATATTTATCCAAAATTGCCCAAGAAAGACTGTACTTTGGTGACATCTGTTCCTTGTAAAGGTTTATTTTCCAAAGCAGGACAAGTTTTAACTGAACGCAGAAATAGATATAGTTTTTTTTTAAATTTATTTTATATTGTTTTTAACTACTACAATTGTTTGTGTTAGTATACTGTACTAATTGGAATTTTACATTCTGTAAGTGCTACATAAATAAATAAATAAATAAAATAAAAATAAGTTCACATGATTTTATTTTTGAATGTAAATATATTTTTTTCATATAACTATAGAATATGGTATATTATACAGGGGTCGGCATAAGTCAGGCAACAAATTTGCATAACAAAAAATGCAGCGTCAAAATGAATTTATTTGAAGAAATTACAAAAAGGATTCGAAAAAGGGTTAGTTTAAGTGTTCAAATTGATCCCTATCTTGATCAATGCATTGACGCAGTGGCGGCTCGTGCCCAAAATTTTGGGGATTCACACTGACCGAATATAGGTATCAGTACAGATGTATGAAAAAACTTTTAGTGTTGCCAGACTTATGCTGACCCCTGTATATTATTATTGTTACTCATTTTGTTTTCTAGTTTTAGTTAAAATGTTTAGTTCAATGAAAATTCATATTTTGTTTTTTAAAGGAGATAATATATTTTGATTTTTAGGCCTTTTATTCAAATATTTTAAATTTAATTTCAGTATCCTTATTTCCCTCTCTACCTATTTCGATATCACATATTAGATTTGATTCGAATGAAAGTCGTGATCACATCAGGCTTTTCAATCACTGATATCAAAAAGTAACAATAATGATCCACAACGTGATTGAAAAATCATGATATCGTCCATCACTAAATGTACTTACTTTAAAACATCCTCATGATCTGAATCGATACTTTCATTATCTGAACTATCAGCTTGAGCATCCTGCCATACTGAGGAAAAAGTGGAAGCCTCAATATCACTTTCTGATTCACTACAAACATCCAGCACTTGGTTACATTTAGCATTATACAGAGCAGCTGCATCTATATCCACTGAAACAACATTATCACATTAGGTAATATTTGTATTGTGATGATAATTATAAAATTATACCAAAAGGATCCAAGTATTTTGAAGACTTTAGTTCAATATCTGAGGTTGGTCCATCACCATCATCTGAATGTTGAGTGCTTGATGAACTACTTCGAATTCTTGGTTTCTTAATATAATGAGATAGAGAATGAAGCAGAACTTCAGCTGTCTGTGGCAAGGGGTGTTTGGAATTTTGCCTATTTCTAGCTAATGTAGCTTTTAAGGCATGTTCACTACAGTACCTAAAGTAGAAAATAAATATATTATGTTAAATGATTTGTATTTTTCTTACCCATAATCTTTTTTGTCACTTCTAGGGGCTGGTAAATTACAACGTTTTCCGTTGTTGCTGTATATGTAAGAGCACTGTTTATAAGGCGCGCTTTTATCTTGTAAAATATGCTTAGAGCAGAATTTGTAACCATCTAAACTTAGTTGTGTACATTCAAACGGTAGATATGTACATTGCTTTTTGTTTCTTAATTCGTTTTCTAATTCTGCCCTCAACGCAGCTTCCTCCATTTCGGCTTCGGTACGTGAATGATACATATTTTGACTTGTTTATTATTTTAAATCGGTTCAATATACATTTTCAAGAATATTTAATTATTTATAAAATATCGAAAAACACAAGCACAGATTAGCACAGAACAAGTCATGTCATGTGGATCTCGGCCAAGTCCGAGTCTGTCCGAAGAAGTGGTCCGACGGGTCCGACTTAGTGTTGTGAATATCCGTATCTTTTTAGTATTCGGATAATACGTATTCGGAACCAAGAGATATTCGGATTCATCATCCGGATACGTATCCATATGTGTGAAATCATAATACGCAACCGTAAATACACCGCGACCTTGGGAATCGGAATCGGGCAGTGTTGTCAACCCTAGCAGAATTTATGTTTGAGAGTGAAGTGACAGGAGCTTTTAATGTTTTAGAATAATAAACACAAGATAAATCTCAAATATTTTGTTTTTTATCATAATATCAGAAACAAAATTTCTCATTTATATAACTTCATGTTACCTTTAAAATATGCAGTGCATGCCGACTAACCGATTATGAATTGCAACAACGCTAGACGATTCCGAATTCTGATTTCGTATCCATAGTTCGTATCGGCTGCCACCCGCAAAACCCGAATCGGCTCTGTCATAACAGAACTTGCAGCATTCGATTCGTGTATTACGATTTTGTTTCTGTTCTTTTTGATACCGAATTCGTATTCGAATTTACACTATTGATTCCGGAATATCCGGATCCTTTTAATATTCGGATTCAACGGATTTTTGGATACGTATTCTTACACCACTAGTCCGACTCACTTAGGCGAGTTCGGTCCATAGACATGAAGAGGGGAGATAGGAAAATGGCTGCCCGGGTGGCAAGCAAAAACGTTTACGATAGCGTAAATGCGGGGGAGGATTTGAGTCTGCGCATTAGTTAGAATATTGTGACATTTGACATTTAGTTGTCTTGTGATTGTTGTTATTTTTACCAATTTTTATACGATTTTTAAAGTTTTTGTGAGTTTTGGAAAGTTATTTTGATCCCTAAAGACGTCCTAAAGATTTCTATAAACAATGGTTAAAACATGTTTAGTTTTATTCTGTCCAAACCGATGAAATAATTCCGAAGAACTTGTCATAAGTAAGTTTTTAACACCAATACAGACCCGTATTTAACAATTATTTTTGGATGAATCATAAGGTCTGTTCTGGTTTTGAGAAATAACGATCCACAACTGTCAGGCTCATGCGCAGTAGATAAAAAGTGTTCTGGTTTTTCTGGGACTACTTCGGATCTCTCAGTCCAGTGTTCTGGTTTTGTATCCGAAATAATCCGTGATTGTTGTAAACAGTCAAAAAGTGTTCATGCTTGGGAGTGTGGATCGAGTCGGACTGTTTTGACCGCGCATGCGTTTTTGAAGTGTTATGAATATTGTATTGGCTTTTTAGACTATACGAAACTTATACAATCCCAAATTGTTTATTTATATGTGGACGAATGTCTCTTGTTCTTGTTTTATTTGTAAATTAAAGCAATTTTAGAATTATTAATTTTTTAATATTATTCTGTTTTTATTTATTCCATTGAAATGTGATGATAATGGTAAACATATACATGCAAATGTTATTTGAAGCTGAGCTTTCAAAAGGAACTTCATTATTATAATAAACAATAAACAAAACACCTTTATGACGTGTTCTGGTTTTCCAACAATTTCAAACAGTCGGGGATTTTTTGCCTTTACGCATACGGTCCGGCGCAGTTTCAAAACAGTTTTCATTTTGAGAACCAGAACAAACCTAATTAGGTATTTAATTATTGTTCTAGCCCAGTATCCATACTGGGGTTCTAATAAAAACCTTATCTAGTTATATATAATTATTCGTTTTTATTTGTCTTTTAGGTTAGAAAAAAAAAGGCTTAATGTAATGGAAGCTCCTATAAAGAAAATGTATGCCAAGGAAATATTTCAAAATCGTTCAAGCATTTCTTATTTTGAATTTTAGTCAGTGATAAAACTGTGATTAAAAAGAATGCCACTCCTACTTTATTTTGGCCAAGTAATAAAAAAAAGAACATGTTCCAGTAGCTCATGAACAGAAAATTTCACCAAAGGATGCTAGGTAAGTTTTATTTCTATTTCATTTAAATATAGGTAATACCCTATATGCGTGCTAACACTATTTATAATGAAGCCTTCTTTTTTTTAGTAAACTTTTCAAACCATTTTTTAATAGAATTTTAAGCAGTTCTAATAGTGCTGACTTTAGAAGATCTACCAAAAGAAATTATTGAAAACTAACCAAAATCATTCATTAATGTGTAAGTTACCAGATTAAATGTGTTTCATAACCAGCATGTAGTTATAAATTATATTTATTAATTTTTATCTGTTTTAGGTTAGATAAAAAGTATTGGAAGATCACACAAAGAAAATTTTAAAATATGTTCGAAGCATTTTGAATTTTAGTCAGTGATAAAACTGTGATTAGAAGGAATGCTACTGCTACTTAATTTTTGCCAAGTAATCAAAAAGAGAACATGCTACAGAAGTTCATGCAAAGGAGGCTAGGTAGGTTTATTTCTACTTCATTTAAACATAATGCCTATGCAGTCTATATTATACCACTGTTTTACAGAATTTTAAGCAATTTAGATAGTGGAGATCATCTCCCAATAGAAATTATTGAAAACGAAACAAAAGAATTCATTCTTATGTTTAAATGACTTGATTGAATGTCATGTACTATTCGTTTCATATGCTTGCATTTGAATATGCACATTTGATACATTTTTTACCTCTGGAGCATTATTATTTGTTTATTCACATCTACTACATCTGCGTTTGTTTATATTTTCTTTATTTAAAATGATATTTTGAGGATTGTCAAACTTGACATTTTTTGTTGTTGGATTCGTTCCATGCCAGGTTCAGTTACAGGTTTATCGATTTATCCTCTGTTTATGCTAGCCATATATGCTCATGAATATAAAAGTGATCATTTGTTTGATTTTTGTTAAGTTTTCAAATTTAGATTTTTTCTATAATATAGGTATCGCTAACCATCAGTAACTAGAGAGTAGGTATTTTAATTCAAAAAATAGTTTTAAAGTAAATAATCATAAGAAAAATTACAACGACAACTACTTTTGTATTCATATTATAATGACTCAAAGGTCAAACACAAAAAGTATAAAACTTGTCATTGTCATTTTTACCACATGGCTAGTAGGTCTAGAGTGTTTCTTTATTACATCTACATTTAACCCTAATCTTCTGTTACATGATAAAAATTCACATCTCATCAGATGCATCCTATATGATGATAAACAAGCACAGCTATAAGCATGCAAATTTAATAATCTTAAATCTTTCCATGTAAATATCTGTTAAATAGTGATTTTTTTTAATTGCAGAAATACAGTAAAGAAGACAGAAATGCAGATATCTAAACAAACTAAATGTGGTACAGATATCAAAAACGACAGCAGACGTATAAATGATGCAATGTTACACTCGTTCCCTTAGCAACTTCTACCTGTGTTAAAGAAGAGAAATATGATAAGTATCAATGCTGGAACATTTTTACTGTGTCGTTAATGTTTTCAAATAGGTAGTTTTCTTAGAATTAAATGTCAATAAATGGCATGTAGTTGTTATAATTTGTACACCTGATACTCTTATCAAAATATCTACTTGTAATATGTTGTGTATGTTTTGTATTTCATATACTGCTATAGAATTTTTAAAAGGGAAAGTATACCTTATAATAAGTAGACCAAGGTATATTCTAGCTCAATAAAAAAATTTATAAAGCATAATAGTTAAAAAAATGTAATACTTTTCTAATACAAGACGTATTTCTAATCAGGCAATGATCGAGAGTTCTTTCAAAAATAATATAATTAAGTTGTATGTATTTTACTTATTTATACCTAAATGTTTTTATATATTTTACATTTACTTTTGACGACTGTAAACAACATATCGAAGGCAACAAGGCTAGACCTCGTAAGTCGCAAAATCAAAATTTTTCAGGAGATAAAAAAAAAAAGATTCACAAGTGCATTGAACAATCCATTTTACTCTATAATGGGACTAATATTTAACCATATTTTGTTCAAAAATTTTAATACATACTTCATTTATACAGTAGATGGAGTGAAATCTTTTAAACGAGATTATCATAAAATATAATTTTCAGTGGCAATGTTAGTTACGAGGTCCTGCATTGTGGCTCTCGATATGTCCAAAATAAAGAAAAAAAGCCCAATTTAGATAATACAATAAATATTGTACAATTTTAAATAAAAAATCTAACCTTCTATTTTACAGTATCTATAAATTATAATAAAAAATATATATAGATCCTTAGCCAATCAGCCAGTTTTAAATTGAATACAATTCATACAAATAATTATATTTTTATATATTTTGTAATTCTATATTGTAATTGACACCCAGTTGGAAGAACACTTATATATATCTTTCAATATCTAATGATTGTATAATTTGATTAGACTGAACGTAATTTGATGTTCATATTAAGACAAATCACATTCTCAAACTCTGTCAAAGTTTGTCGTACCTATAAATTTTAATGAATATTGTTGCAATCGGTTGTTTGTATCTGGGTACGATATACATTTATATTAGTATGTACACATTTTTTTAAATTTTAAATATGTATATATTTGTTTTCTGTCTTTGTCAATACGATGTATTTTTCAACAATAAAGCAATTTGAATTAGGAACCTGCGAATATCAGGCAGAGACTCCTGTCACTCGTAGCATCTAAATTTGTGTCGATGTATGTAGTGAAAAGAACATAAGTTGGAACCATATCGATGCTTTCTGACAGTGGTCTCCTTTTGTTATCTGCATGTTCCTATTAAACTTTGTTAAACTCATTGTAAGATATACCTTCTGTGTTAAAAAGTCCGTACCTGTCTAGTATCCTAAAGATATTTTAATAATAAGTAGTTTTCTTTGAATTAAATGTTATATATTCTTTGTATTTGTTAATATCCTGAAGATTGTATTTGAACAAAATGTTATTCAATTCTTATAATTTGTACCCCTAATACTATTATTAAAATAACTGCTTGCAATATATGTTTTTTTCAAGGATTTTCAAATGTTAGGTAATTTTCTTTGAATTAAGTGTCTCATTT